GAGTTCAGCACGAATGAGATCACGATTTGGTTCTTTGAAAATACTATTTTTTTTACTATTATAAAGAGAAATAATATAATATGGACAATCACGCACTCGATAAAACATTTGTGCAAAAGCTTCAGCATGTACTCCTGTATTAATATTGCTTATTTCTATAACTGGATCAAAATGATTAGAAATTTTAAAAAAAATACCAGCTTCCATAGTACTTGTATAAACCACACAATCAAGACCACTCCAAGTAGCATTAATATTAGCAAAGTTTTCTTGACGTTGTTTCTCATCCATTTGACCAAAATAAACCTGTGATAAAACATGTGAACCATCTGGTTTTAATAACTTAGAAGCCTGAACAGCTATAGCTCTAGCTTTTTTACATAAGGTAACTGAAAAGGCAACATGTTTACCTTCTTGAAGCAACTTAAGACCTTTATATATAGCTTCTGATCCTTTATCAGGGTCATAAAGAATTTTTACAGACTTACCTTTATGTGGCTAATACTTATTATCAAAAACTCGTATATCTTCATCTTGATATTGTCTTAAGAAGTTTAAAGTAGATTCATTTGCAAAAGCATCTATAGCTAGAACATGTACAGCTGACTTTAACAAATCCTGTATGACATTTTCAGATTCTTGGGCATGAACTCCACCATTCATTTGACGCATAATAGCATTTATTTCATCTAAAATAACTATATAAGAACTACCTCCAAAAAGGGAAAGTCGGTGTGTACTCTCAGCCTGAACAATAATAACATCCCAATTACATATAGCTAAATCTCCTTCAACTTCTTGATAATTATATACACGCAATCTTGCATTTTGTAGTATATCAACTTTAGCTTTAGTCTCATTACTAAGAGTCTTACGATATGAAACCCAAACAAAACACGGCAGTCTGCTCCCTTTTTTGGCTAAGAAATTGAGAATAATTCTTAAAGCTTTTGTTTTTCCTGTTATTACAGGTGATCAGATAAGAGATGTAGTGAGTTCCTCACTCAAGAAATCAGGATAAGCTTCTGGAGCATCTTCCATTTCACTGATATTGATATTTTTTCCAGATAATTCTGCGAGTAGGTGTGGATGTTTTATAGCCTTGGGTAGTCTTTTATATAATCTCCACTTCTTGAACTTTTCTTTTGACTCAACTTTGTCTAATACCTTATCGAAGCTAATGCTCTTGTGCTCTGGCTTGTATTGTTTTTGGCGATAACACTTAAGTACAAAATGTCCATTTTTTTGAATAAATCCATAGAGTTGATCATTATCATGTTTAACGTCACATATAGGGTATTCTTTAGAGCGGAGCTCATTATTACATAATATGGATTGTGATTGAAAGTTAATAAACCCTTTCTCGATTCTTCCAATCTGGAGCTACCCATATTTCGCAATAGCTAAATTAGCCCCATTAACCAAAGCATTTTCATCATCGATGGGCTGAAATTCTTGTTTTACTGGCTCCTTTGAAAAGAAGGTTCATAGCCAGATCATGGAATAATTCTCTTTAGGCTGAACTAGATAATCATCTAGAATTTTAAATCTATTTTTTACAGAAGAGATAGCAGGTCTTTTTATATGACCTTCCTTTGCTGATCCTAGAAGCCGAAGATTGAAATGTGTTTTGAGAAGGCCAATGTCAATAAATTTCGAATAAGGTTTCCCAACTAATTCCATAACTTTTTCTGTAAATCCCTTAAGTTCTCTATAATCTATGAATTGGGCCCGAGGATAAATAATATGCCAGCTATATTTCTCAGCATTTGATGAACTAGCTAAGGCAAAAGAATTTAAGAAAGGTATATAATCGGGAATAAGGCTTAATGCATCTGTACAAGCAACTAAAATTCAAAATATCAAATCTTCTCAGTTAATTTTTTCACTATCTAAAGAAGCATGTTTAAGATTATTTGGATCAGATTTTTGTCTTGTATCAATATTAATAATTAAGTGTAGGAGCTGGTTTCTATCGATACATTCGTGGGTATTAGGTATTCTATAAACTTCAGAGGGATGATCGATCACCGTATAACCTTTTCCTGCTATCCGAATTATATATTGAGAATAAATCTCTTCAGGTTGATATGCATCTAAAAGTGCAGTATCGTTTCTATTAGAAGAGTTGGTATAGCTATTGGATGCAAGCTAGTATTTATAAAATATATGTTCTCTATAGCCAGGTTTATAATCAAGATCCGTTAAACCCGTAAAAAGCCTTTTTGCTTCATTATATTCAGCTAACTTTTGATTTAAGCACTGTTGCTGTAATAATTCATGAAGATGTTTTTTTGCTTCACTAGATAAACTTATTTTATTGATTTGTATATATACGTTGTTTGTATATAGAGTGTATAGTTATAAACTAAAAGTATTATACTTAACCCAAAAAACTTTAAAATGAAATTAATTATTCTATATAATTATTATTATAATAAATATGGGACTCTATCATTGCCCTTATATTCTTAGAACTGGCAAAGTTTGCAATCAAGGTTGCTATCATCCAGAAAGATATAAACTTTATTGGAATTCGCTAACTTGGATTCCTTGCAAAGAATATGGTAAATTAACATATTCTACATATAGTATATGCTCGAATCATATGAGTAAATATCAAAAAAGAGAATATTATTATCAAAAAAAACAGGCTGAATTATATGCAAAAATTGTTATGCTTGAGAATCATATATCTGACTTACCTGATTTCATATATGAAGTATAATTATATAGCTCAACATCCGGTAATCCTATAGGTATACATAAACTCTTTTTTTCTAGGTATAGGAGAAAAAAGTGTAATTAATTTCAATTTTAAAAAATATTTTTATAGTATATATAACCTAAAGAACTGTTCATAACCTACTCGACCTACTATAACATTAGATCATGTCAGCTATCATGACTAAAATCGTTAAAAAATACAATCTCAGCCTCAAGGTGAGTGTGTCCGATCTCAGTAAATATATCTCAGAATTTCTTGAAAACCTTACCGATGATAGAAAGCGGAATCAAGATTGATGAAGTCTTCGAGATGGTTTTAAATTTAGCAGTAATCAGGTAAGTATATTAATACCTAATCAGAGAAGTAGTAAGGTCAAGATTATAAATATCATCGAGAGTAGTTGCAGAATAGCTATAGCTTCATCCTCTAAAGATTTGGAAGAAGAGATTATCAGAGAGATAACTAAACGAATCTTACAGAATAGATATAGATTTAGCAGGAGACAAGTGGATGATTTATTCTCTGCCCAGAAAAATGGAAGTATATTTGAAGAGCCATTGCCCTGCAATAGAGACGTAAATATTGCAATTTCTAACAAATCCTCGAAAGAATAGAGGAAGAAACAATTGGGGATATGGCGCAACAGATTTTACGGGATAAACTTAGCATTAGAGATGTAAGAGCTGAAGCTTATGCCTTAGCCCTATCAGCAAAAAATGCTAATGCTGGCTTATCACGTCTCACTCGTCTTCGTAGAGAATTAAGGAACCTTAATACATCACTTGAGATAATTGAGGTTACAAAATTTCCAGATATTATAGAAGATGCCAACAAAATCCAAAGTGTCAATCGAAAAAAAGCTGAAGCTAAACGTATCAATTATTCAGATGAATTTACATTAGAATCAGTTAAAGAAAGATTAGATACGTATGATATTAAAACTTTACCTAATTGTCAGGCTCTTGCTGATATTATAGTGATGCTTTGTATTCGTCCTGCTGAACTTAAAACTTTACGCATTACAGATGCTGGAGTGATGGGATATGCGAAGAATCAAGGTCAGCCAGATATTCCTAGAAAATTTAGATTAATGAAAAAGAATCAAGAACGAGCCAAAGAACTACTCACTTGGATTTAGCGTGCTATATCATCTGGACAAATGGGTGATCCAGGTAAGCCAGGAGTTAAATGGTTCAATAAATTCTTAAAAGATTATAATTTAATTCCTAAATATTTATGTAAATTAGGAGCAGTTTACGGTGCAGTAGTACATGAGGCTAAGAATATGGCCCACGCTTATACAATTGCTGGAGAATGTCTACGTCATTCATTTGATAATCATACTTCTCCTGTGCAAAATTACGTTGTAGTCAATTATAGAAAAAGAGGAGTTCCTTATAAGCAAGCAAGACGATTTCATATCTATGATCAAGATTAATTGTGCTTCTTCACTTTTACCATATCTACAGTAAAATCTTCATTATCATAAAAGGATTCAGAGCCGGACCCAGATTCAGACGAGGACTCAGATGTGGTATCGTTAAAAATTATCTTTTTTCTTTTAGCTTTACATGATGTACGACTTTTTCAAGAAGTATCCGGGTTTGATATCGAGTTTATAATATCTTGGCGAATCTCAGGTTTTACTATCTTCAGTAATTGGCAGAAAGAGATCCAGATTTTTTTACCCGATACTTGCTTGATCCAACTAGTCCAAAGCGATGATCATCAGCTTAGAATATTGGATTTTACATTTTTTTTTGTCTAGAGAAGAAATTAGCTAAGATACGTGCAGGTGAAAATTTACTAAATGAAATAAAAATGTCTTACTTGGCGGTTGATAAACTTTAAAAGAGTTATGTGTGGAAAAATAAGGCCACTCTATTGTTCAAAGATGGTATATCTCAGATTGGAAGGTTTAAAAATCTCTCCACATCATTAGATGATTCAGATGGTGTATGATTTTTCAGATAATGAATGGGTAATTAATTATTAGCTATTTTTTTTCCTGATAATATAAATCATTAAATAATAATCATGAAAGTGAAGATAGTCGAAGCTAAAGTAGGAAAGCAAAAAGTCAATTGTCGCCTTGAACCAGGATTTCTTGGTCCATCTATGTGTAGTGATAAGCTCCTCAAGAAAATCGGTGGTAAAATTAGCAGAAAGTTGACTCCCGAAGAGAAAGATAGCAAATTTGTCAGAGAGGAAACTACATCTCCACTTGGATTGGCCATAATTCCACTTACCTTTACTTCTAATATAATAAACAATCATCGCCTTAGTAATTGCCAGAGGCAGACACACAGTGGCTATAGATCCATCACAATTCCGACTGAAGTACTTGTAGAAAAATATGATCTCCAAACGCCCAACTATATCTTGCTTGGTAATAATTGGTTCTATGGACGCAAATACAATAATGATGAGTTTCAAACGTATCTACCAGAAATAGTAATAGATGCAAAAAATGCTTTTGTAAGAACCACCTTACACATTAAGGACCTCAAAACCAAAAAAAAGCCAAGGATTAATGTATCTGTTAATAAAAGAGATATTCACGATTTTTACAAATCACTTTCTGGGGAGTCAGATTCTTTGGATTCTTCGGATAGTGATTCAGGTAATTCTTCCACATCTACTTCGGAAATAGAAGTTATACATATGCATAAGACTGAAGCAGTAGGCTCGAAGAGTCATTGCTGTACAATAAGGAAACGCCCCATTCGAAAGCGTAAAGTAAAAGATAGAGTTAATTATTGGGCTATGTAAATTCTATTACACCCAGAAATAAGACCGGAACATAATCGTTAAACCAGAATAATTATCGACCAATCACATCACGGGGATGCTATATATATTTGTGATAATTTTCCCTTCTTTACTTTTGATTTTAGACATGGACACTGATCGTTGTTAGCTGATTTTTTGACGAAAATTTCATGCAATTGTTGAAGAGAGACATTCGGAAATAATGGTAGTCCCTCACCAGTAAACCAAAATTTTTTTACCCCCCTATCAACGAATTTCTTCATTAGCACACCTGGATCATCTTCTAAGGGGCCGTGGAATTTCTCAAACTTCTGGAGGTACACTCTCATATTTTTATCAGCTTCTTCTGCCATTTCTTGATTAGTATAACCGACAATACCGATTTTTTCCTGAATTGTCGTTATATCGTCTTCTAAGCATAAAAGCAAATAAAATAATCTAATTGGTTTATCTGGAGAGGCTTTATCCCTTCTAAGTTCCGCTTCTAAAATGGGATTGATATCTATACCAAGTTTCCCCTGTATAGGTATTAAATCCCTCACCAATTCTAACAACAATTCATATGAATCGGAAAGTTTTTTCGCTTTCTTGCTCTTCGACACTGCCGTTTGATTTATATTACTGTTAATACCAAGTTTTTTCTGAATAGCTGTTATATCTTTTTTCTTATATAAAAGCACCTCATATAATTGAGGAAAATTTTCACTTCGATCAGTATTATTATTAGTATTACTCGTCATGATTGTTATAATATGGTAATATAATTAATGCGCATAAATATATAAATTAAGTGAATAAGCAAATTCAATCTGAAAATAATTATAACCACATCGTAACTTCGAAATCACATGACGTTATAATGAGCTTCATTGCTCTACAATACTTGGTCTATATATCGAAGTTACTATAGAAGTTTCTGTAATATAAGGGATGATATGTTAGCCTTGCTACTTCTACTAATAAAATGGAATAATTTTGTTAATGATCGATGATATGCGATTTACTTTTAAATATAATTGGAGTGGTAAAATTAAATCCAGCATCTAACCAAAATCGAGTAATATTACACAAGTCAGGTTCTAGATAGGATCGTGTATCGTTCTAATGTTATTCAGAAATTGATCATCAATTATATGAAAATTTATTGCAGAGCAAATAACTCTTTGGGGCTATATATTAATCAGATCTTGATGTGACAGTTATCATTATTATTGTAAATATTTATCTGATTTACTAGCTTTAATAAATATCGCATACCTTGATTTATGTTACCCAAACCGTGTATTGTTAAATCTTTAGAATCAGATCTTCTTTTTTAACATCTGAATCTTATACTCATATTCAATAATGATATAATAAATAACGTAATTAACATTTTCCAGTATGTTCTGGCCTTTACCAACAAAGAGATCAAATCAGATTTATTGCAAAGCAATGCCACTTACGTGTCTAGGTTGTGAAATCTTATATAAAAGGGATCTAAAAATTTTTAGTCAATCCTTCTACGCTCTTATTAGTAATATCTGTAAAAATAAAAATAAAACATTTAATAAACTTTCACATCTTGTACTTTAACTTTACCAAGATAATAAAAATAATTTCTAGGCATAATACTCCTGCTAAGAACAACAAAATAAACCTCATTTATTTCACCTGTTTCACACGAATTAAGGTTGATTTCAAGTTGCATATTTGCTAGGTTACTCCACACTCGTGTATCTATACTAATGATCTTTTTTTCTATTAATAGATGTCTTCAATCAATATTTCGGAAATTGCACTATTTTTGGTTTTTGTGTGCCTAATGTTATTCACCGAGAAAATCCCTGTTTATCTGATTTTCATTGTCACGTGCTTCGCCATGTATATCATCAAACAACAACTTACCGTGGAATTCAATACACATGTTGAAAGATTAACTACAGATATTATGTCACGAGATGCTATATTTGTTGTTGAGGGACAGAAAATTGTGGCAATAGTAAATACCATAATCGAAACTATTAATGAAATCACAACCAATTATGATTCTCTTCATAATCAGTTGGATTATTTAACTGAAACAGGTTCTGTGGCACCATTAATATCTGAACAATTTGCTAGCCCATCTATACCTACGTCTAATTTTCCCCAAAGATCTTCTGGTTCTTCTTCCGGATCTTCTGGTTTTTCTCTGGGTTCTTCCAGTAGCTCAAGCCAATTATCTTTTTCTAATATTACCTCAACAACCAGAAATTACTTTAAAATTCTTTTTGATAAGATTATGACAGACAATAATTATTCTTTAGATGATATATATAATATGGTGTCTGTTGAGATTCGTAGTCTTGGGATGGGAAAGATTAGTAAGGAAACTATAAAAAATTTTTATTATAATAATGGTGATTTTAGAGGTAGTACTTTAAATAAAATAGGTGCTTGGATAGATAGTAAAAATAATTTTAACTTAGCTAATAACACGGAGTAGCGGGGAAGGAACTCTCATTTTATGGGTTAGGGCTCGAGAAATTTCTCCCTTTAAATGTCCGCTACTCTTAAGTTTTTTACTTAGCTCTCCCTAGCCCATTTTCATATATCTACAAAATTAATAAAGTTATATTTTCTGTAATTTGATTTTTAAATATATTTGTCTACGTACTAAGAATTTTATTTACCATAATTTGTTTTAGCACATATGTGCTGCTCATGCTAAAATATATCAGCTTTTTCACAACATATCAAATTTTAGTAAAATGATACAATGTTATATGATGGCAACAAGATTGACAAGAAAAATTTTGAATAAACATGCAGAATAAATTAGAAATTCCTTATGAGGCTTATCATTATGTATAATTTGTTTGTAAACGGCTCACAAACACATTACCTGTTACAGGTTTATATAGGAGCAAAACCCTCATTGCTATGCAATAGTAAGTAACAAATTGTTTTGCCATGTATATATTATTTTTTTTGTTAATATAACAATGAAAAATCAGAATAACATATCGATATTTACAAATAAAAAAAATCAAAAATATTACGAAAAGTGGCACATCTTTAGAGAGTGGAAGCACGGGTGTAAGGTTTGTGATGAATGCAATCACCATTCACACCTATATTGCAAAACATGCAAAAAGGTAGCGGATGGAATATATAAGCGAAGTGAATGTGAAAATTCTTGTTAAAACCTGAATTAGTGATGAGGCTGAAATTACAGTACCTAACCAAAGTCGGTCAATTAACTCATGCCACATCTATTCTTCATTTGTGGAGAATTCGACCGAAACCATATCAGGCCTAAATACGCACAATGTATGCATGTACGACGGAGTATTGAGTCCCTTAAAGCTTATTTTTAACGATTTTAGCCTTACATGGCTCTATAACTCGTGATTAGGGATGTTATATCCAGTCTAGTTCGTCTGGTTAATAAAAGACCGTTTATACATTTTAACTATTAATTTATGGACCAGACCGGACTAGG